GTTCTTACAGGCGTGTTTTCCTCTTGGGGAGATGAATGTCATGGTGTCTTCAGGAGTATTGGAGACACGCGTGGGTGTGGGTACACACTGGTGAGGACCAGTTTGGGTTTTATACCTTCAGAGTGAGAACATTTTGGGAAAGTGGGGAAAATCTGGGTGATCCAGGTGGAGTAAACTACATGGATTGACAACCAGGAAGCCATACCTAGGTGTTGTGCTTCTGATTTGCTGATTGGCCATTTTTCCCTGTGACAACATTTAAACTAACTAATTTGCACAGGCTGCAAGCAGTCAGCTAACATCAGTTGTTCTGAGGTTTCCATGCCAGTGCTCAGTTAAGTTCATGTTGCATTTAACACAAGCTTCATGTATGGATGGCCATGTCTAGCCATGCTATATATTGATATATCAAGTTACTTCTCCGTTTTCTTCCACTATCTATTACTACTGGACGGATTACCGAAGGATTACCGAAGGATGCAGCGTGGGTCAGGGAAGAACCCATTTCATTTTGGTGCTGATTCAGATCATGGGGCAGAGTCACCTTTTTTCCCACTTCGCAAGATTTATGTCTTTGATAACAATCCATGGATCTTGATTGAAATGTATCAGATTTGTTTAAGGGACTGATATTTATGTGTGTGTGCAGTTTGGTGCAGATCCAAATAAATATCGAGTGACTTGAACAGATGTTTCATAAGGGGACTGGTGCGACTGGGCAGATATACACACTCTGAGTGAAGTACATACCTCTAGTTTTTACTGTCTTTTATGGGCTTATTGATTTTATTTGAATACAATATTGAATCAACTTAAACTGAAATCTAATCACATCAAAGCAGATACACACTGTTGTATTTAAAGTAAAAGTCTGACTACATACAAATCTGCCTTTTTTGGTGAAAATGGATAAAAATATAATGTGACATATATTTTAAGTGTCACTTTGTTTCCTTTTGGCATGTAGCTTTTGACTGGCATATGTGGTGCTGTATTGGTTGGATTATAGCAGATGCTGTTGCTGAGGCTTGTAAATATTATCTGTTGAAAACATAGGCATTGTCCTTGATGTGTATTAGCTCTGCACCAGATGCAAATGCCTGCATTTCAAGATCTAATTCATAATGGATCAAGACTGTCCCATTCTGAAGTAGATGAAATGGAGAAATACTCGTTCAACTCTGGTTTTACTGATCGCTTAATTAAGTGGAAGTACTTGTTGGTAAACTTTTTGAACTGTCATTGTGATGTGCATTACCTGGATGAGGGATTAATTCTGGTCGGGGAAGATCGGTCACAAACATAAAAAGATGTCTGTGTTTGGTGCTCTTCAGATTGTCGTGTTATGGGAGGCGGCGTGTTTTGTCATTTAGTCTTCTGGAGACAAAAACTTTATCAGCTGTGATTTTTTTTTTAAAGAGGTGACATTTGACATGTTTCATTTGGAAGATGCATATTCATATATATTTTAAGTTGGATTTTATAGGATCATTTTAAGAGTTTTTGCTTATTTTAGATAATGTTTTCCAGTGGTTGATTGATTAAAGTGGTTTTGGCATATAGATAACTTAGATGATCTGTGTTCAGAGGTTAAAGCAAGAGTTGGAGTGCATCTTTAAATATAGTGGCTGAGCTGTTCGTTTCTTCATTGATGGTTTGGTAATGATGTTGTGTGGGACTTGGTTGAATGTAGAGTAGAAATAATTTGTTTTCAAATGGTTGTTAGTCATATTTTACTGAATTAGTCAAGCTAAGGGCAGATAGTTGATTTTGAGTATAACAGACTTTTACTATTGAGTGTGAGTTGTGGTACATTAAACAGTTGTAGTTAACTTCACATATCTTAATTTAGCAGTTTTAGGTTTTATGTTGTGGCTATTGTGGACATGGGTATGAATAGTGTCACCGTGTCACTGATGACCTTTACCTCACATTGCTTTTCACATTCATTGGTCTTCTGTTGGAATCCCAGGAAAAAGAAGCTGAGCTAAAGAAGCCCAATAGTTGGCAATAATGCTATTTTATACCCTTCTGTCTGCAGGTGCTGTTATTTGTGCATCAGCATGGCAGTCGTCATCCGTTTGCGAGGCCTGAGAGTCACAGCAGGTACTGAGGATATTCGCAAGTTCTTCGCTGGCCTCAAAATTCCAGATGGAGGGGTGCATATTATTGGTGGGGAGCGAGCTGAAGCTTTTATTATCTTTGCTTCGGATGAAGATGCAAGAAGAGCCATGACACGGTCGGGGAATTGCATCAAGGATGCCCCTGTTGCACTACTACTCAGTAGTAAAGCAGAGATGCAGAGCATGCTTGAAAGAAGTGCAAAAAATGCAGAGCTGGATCAGAGGAGGCGATTTGAGGAGAATGCCAGACCCGCTAAAAGACCTTTTGGCCCTGAGGTGGGCAGGAGATCAGGTAGCAGATCAGGTCAATCCCCCCCTCCAAAGCATCAGAGGGCTTCAAACAGTAATGATGACTTCTTGTGTGTGTTTCTTAAAGGATTGCCTTTCTCTGTGACTGAAAATGAAGTATGTGATTTTTTCAGTGGTTTGCTTGTTGATGACATAGTCTTGTTAAAAAATGAAAATGGCTCAAACAATGGGAGAGGCCTCGTCAAATTTGCAACAAGAGAGGATGCAAGTGAAGGCCTGAAGAGGGACAGGAGATACATTGGGTCAAGGTATATTGAGATTTCCATGACAACAGCAAATGATTGGCATCGCACTACTGGCAGACCTCCAATGGTCGTGAACAGAACCAATGTTGAAAGAGAGAGATCACCCATTCGTGATCAGAGGAATTCACAAATCCACGCCAGGTCACAATCACCTATGGCCCAGATGCTCATTGCTCCAGACGATGAGTACTGTGTGTTGTTGGACAACCTGTCCTTTACCGTGGAAAAAGAAGACATAAAAAAGCTATTTCAGCATGCAAAGCTTGAGGATGACCAGATCCTACACTTGATGGACAATGAAGGAAGAAGAACTAGATCTTCGTTTGTGCTGTTCAAGAATCAGCGTGACTACTGCGAGGCCTTATCGCAAGAAAAAAGACTATTTTTCAATCGATTGATTTATACCCGCCCAATCTCTAGAGAGAGCATGATCACCCTTCTGGAGTCTCACTGCACAGATGCCCGTCCTCCTGGAAACTCTGAACGGTTTCAGGAAAGGCCTCCCTCTTTCCCCAGTGATCGTTACGAGTCTGAGAAACTGTGTATGTTTGTACGGAACATGCCACTAGATGTAAGGAAAGTTGAGATAATCGACTTCTTTTTTGGATTTAATATCACAGAGGATAAGGTGTTCTTGCTTCTTGACCATGATGGTGCTGGGGTCGGGAAGGCTTTGGTTCTTTTCCGGTCTGAGGCAGAGGCCACAAGGGCACTTTCTCTCAATGGACAACGCTTCCTTGGGTCAGAAGTCATACTGAAATGCATTTCACGCTCCCAGATGAAGCAGTTGGGTGTTGATCCAGCAATGGGGCAGGGGCCATTGCCAAGACAGGAGCAGCACTTGGGCAGGAGCAATGAGGCCTCCTACCACTCAGTTGACGAGTACCCTGACCTCAGGATGTCTAATGATGGCAATATATCAATGAATAATGTACAGGTCCAGGGAGGCCGTAATTACGAACCCTTTGCCGGGGGCTCTCGTGCTCCACAGGACAGGGGTAATGGCTTTCGTGGTGACTTTGGCCCCCCAATACAGCCTTTTGATGGTCCAACCTGTGTAAAGTTAGTCAACTTACCATTCCAAATCAGAAATGAAGAAATCTATGATTTTTGTTATGGATATAGCATCATCCCTGGATCTGTGTCACTGCAGTATGACCAGAGTGGAAAACCTACAGGCACTGCGACTGTTGTATTTGAATCACGTCCAGAGGCCTTAACAGCAGTGCAGGAACTGAGTGGAAGACCAATAGGTCCAAGAAAAATAAAGCTTCTGTTTGTTTGAAAGTGATATCGCTTGTCAGTGTCCTGTCAGAGTTGTTTGGACACAGGCCCAATGTTGATTTCAACAGTGTTGCTGTAATATAGGCCGTTGCCTTTGTTTCCTCTTTTTGATTGATATAGCATGGGGTTTTTGAACCAAATTGAACTTGGCTTTCTTTTCTAACAGCATTTTGTTTTCTTGTGATTAGGCAATGTAGCCGTCTGTTGACTAAATATTGATTTATTTTTTATACAACACTCATCTGAAATATTTGAGATTTGTTGTTCTCATTGAAGTATTTCTGTTTTATATTATTTTCAACACTTTTTGTAAAATGTGTGAGAATTTGATTCTATTAGTGATTATTTTTTAACATGTATATCTATATACAAAAAAAATCTAGTGTCAGATATCCAATTTTGTTTGCTCACCTCAACCTGTAAATAAAGTGTTTTTGTGCTCATGATTAAGTTTGGACTTCAGTTTTTGCCTTTTAAAAAAAAATCCATCTGAGAGCAAAAATCTTAAAATAGAATAAAGAAGAGGACGAGTGTCCATTTTGAGAATCCATGATGTGTATTTTAAACATGTTTGTTTTAAATGTAACAGATTTGAAAAATTCTTTAAACCAGTAAAAAGTAGCGGGCTCTTGGTTTACTTGGAAAGCAATGGAATTAGCAGTAACATCTGGTTCCTCATCCTTGAATGCAGGGCATAGATTAAAATATAAATTTAACACATAATGTCATTCTAGTATGGGAAAGAACAGGAGCTCAGTGTTCTGATCAATCATTAAAATTAAACATCCACATTTAAACAATTTTCTATTCACAAAAAAAGTGATTTGTGAATTTAGCTGTGAATGTTGTTTTTACAAAAAAAAGTGATGCAAGTGAGCAATGATCTATGAGCCAAGACTCCACTATTTATCATCTATAGTAGTCAATATCAGCCCCAGGGCAAATATCTCAAATATGCCTTCTGCAGAAAATGATTTCACGAGCCTACGCCTTATTTTGAAATCTACATCTTATTTTGAAAAAGTGATGGGCTCGCTGTGTGAGTTGACGCCGGTGAGAGGAGCAGGAGCAGGAGGAGCACGCAGCAGGAGTCCTGAGAATCTGCAGGTGAATAATTCAACACGAAATCACTTTTCATCAAGAACAAACTGAAAACGATGCGCAGCCAGTGTGAGCGATGAGGCTGACGTGGCGAACCACACCGATGAGTCCACGTCGCTGAAAGTTTCGCACCGCGATGGCGCTGCGCTTGTCATCGTGAGCTCATCATCATCGTGTCGTTGGGCAGATGATGAGGCTGATGTCGCCGCCGGTGATCGTTCACAAACCTTTAACTTAGCAGCTAACGTTAGCCACCGGCTGCGACGAAGTTCAGCGGACATGGAACACGCCACGACGGGCCACGTTAACGGCCTCTACAGTTAATAAGTTAAAAGTAAAGTTTTATTATGAATCGCTATTTATTGAGTGAAGTAAAGTTGGCAGAGTTAAGCTAGTGTTAAAGTTCAGCTAATGCCGAGTGGCTTCTGTGCCATTAACATCCACACCTGCCCACGTTAGCTGTCATGCTACATTCAGCTCATCACATCCCAATCAGCCACAGATTTGTCCTCATTATTATTAAATAGCATCATCATCTTTATTATTATTAGCTTTTTACATTGCAGGCATATGTATTTTGATGGCAGTCCATCTGAGTAACTTGATGTTCTTCAAAAACGATGGAGGAGACTGATTATTATTGTGTGTACCTGTTAGTATGAAATGCTAAACACATAGTGGATCTTGACATGTGAATACTGATCATAGTACTTTCATCAGACGTTTGTTTTATTTAAAAACTCATTGTATACAGCCTGTGACTCCTAATGGTCTGTAACCTCTGTGGGAAGCACAGAATTGAAACTTTAGCACTGTCAGCATGTATTGCTCCATTATAAATGTGATGCCTTGTTGAGTGTGGCAGGTTTAAAACCAGTTTGAACCTTCGTGGTACCAGAATGGAGGTATCAAGGAGAAGAGTTTTCCAAAAACATCTGGAACCTGCGAGACCCCTGCGTCGCTGCTACTCCATTGACATTGGTAAGCTCCAAAACTGCACCAGTTGTTTGCACCTGCAGGATCAGTGGTTGCACTTATTATAATTTAATATTATATTTTAATTCCTTTTATCTCTTATGAGAATTCTCATCATTTCATTTAGAGCCCAACACAAATGGTGCTACATGTGCTCAGGCGCTGATGGAGGAAGTGGATCCACCGGTAAGAAATGCAAAGGGTTGCAGCAAACTTTTTTTCTTTTATTGATTATTTTGTCAATTCTTGATTATCAATAATATATATATATATAAACTGTGTTAAAAGCAAGTCAACTCAACTTGAGGTATTCAAATTGCTTATTTTGATGCCTTTAACTGTTCATAACCCAAATATAATCAGTTTACAGTGCAGTGTAGATTATCAGCAAGTCATCACACATGAGAACTTGAAATGAGACAATGTTTCACCATTTTTGCTCTTCAGATGAGTTAATTATCACAACGGTTGACGACAGAGTCATTTTTTAGTCTGTTTAATACGTGTTGAGTTTTTTTAACCAATTAATAAATAAGAAGTGTGCCTTTTGATTTGCACAAAATTAAGTGTTTCTATGAATTTTTAACAATTTTCTGATTTTGTGCCTGAAAGACAAACATAGGCATAGAGCAGTTCCTCAAGATAGTCAACCTCCAAAAACAGAAAGAAGGTAAGACAAAATGTAATGACAACTATTGTAATGGTTGTGTTTATTTCAAGTTGGGAGGTTGTTTCGTTTTTACAGTAGTGGCATGGTACTGTCGCTGTAGCAACCTTGTTTTTCATATTTGTTTTTATTGTGCTTGGTCTGATCTTTGAACTCTTGTTGGTTTTAATGTTGGTTCTAATATATCTCTGTTTAAACATTTACAGGCAGAATATCTTACACAAGAGACTTTTTAATTGCTTTGGCAAGTTGTCCTCATTCCAGGAAGAAACCAAAATTCCTGCCAGAGCACCCCATAGTCTTAACTGAGGCAGTAAGTTGGCTGTATATAATCAGTTTAAATGAAATATCTACTCTAAATGCTCAACATAGCATCATAACAGTGCTGGTTGGATCTAGTTATGTTTTATACCATCTAAACAGAGAGAGCCTGGGAACCTGAGTCTTCATGAAATGAGATTGACCCGCGGGAAAGAGGAAATGTGAGTTTAATCTTGCATGTGATCAGTTTTGCAACTTGTGCAGATCACTGTTTGAGCACATATTTCACACAGATATAAAAGCAGAATCATTTTTACACATATTAGATACATTTCTATCACTGTCTTGCAGTATACATTTATGTTTTTACTTTACAGACATGATGAGTATAAGAATAATTCATCAGTTAATACTTTTTGTTTTCAGGGCAGCAGAAAGGCTTCTCTCCCCTTAAAAAATTTACACAGGTGTTCCCCCAAAGAGTGTTTCTGTATTTTTTCTCTCATTGCTTTTCTTGTTGAACGTTATTTAACTCTTTATTTAACTTGTGACATTTTGCATTGCATGTTTATTATTTAACGTCTTGAGGTGAAGTTTCACAAAGTGTTAATACTAACCACCACTTTATTTGCCTAAGTATGAAGATTGCATTTTTGCTTACATTTTCTGCTGTGTATGATTTTGACGAAGTATTAATATTGTGTAAAGTTGTTCTAAATATATTAATGGATGCTTTTCAAGAAACGATGGGACGAGTCTGTCACTACAGTAGAGTCATAAAACTAAAAGTGAAGTGATTAAAGTGATGTTTTTCATCAGCATTTGGATTTAACATGTCTGAATTAACATGTCAATTACTTCTCTCATAAAAGATGGTTTGACTGAAAAGTTTCGTGTGTGGACATTTTCTTTCTGGCACTTATTAAAACCATAGACTGTTAGTAAAGATGGACGGCACATTGTCACTCTTGTGCCAATCATGACGTTTTACTCCATTTATATATATAAGATAAGATTCTGACAGGAAACTGGACGAGTCATTTCTGACTGATCAGTCCAGAAACACTCATCCGTACTGTTGCTCTGATGGGTAGAGAAGTATGTACTATGAGGATATTCCAGCTGTCTTCAAAATACAGTGTACATAAACATACACAGGGTTTTTAAAGTCTTTAAAAGTACATTGAATTCACTTGTAATTCAGACAAGTGATATTTTAAGCTAAACCTTTTTTCCTAATTGTTATTTTTAATTGGTAAATGGTTTTTGCTGCTTATTTGAGTCCAGCGGCGCACAGATAACGAGACATCAGATAAGTGTAAGCCTCCCCACCCCTCTCATGGGATCTGCAGACAGAGTAGTTTGTAGTCTTTTTGTTCATTTTGAATCTCTGTGGTTGTTTGGTTCCTTTGTGGTCATTTTGAGTCTCTTTTGTGGTCCCTTTCAGCCTCTCTCTGGTCATTCTGCATCTGTGGTCGATTGTTTTTGTTTCTTTGGGATCATTTGTGTCTCTTTAGGATAGACCTTCCTGTCTGTGTAGTATTTTAACTGAACCTAGTGACATTCAAACAAGAAATATAGTCTGTCACCAGAGGCTCAGTGAACCCCATTAATCTGTTTTATAATCCAAGTATGCATGAATCCAGCTGGCTCTTGTAAATTGACTATTCTTATCTTCAGTTTCAATTCAGTGAGCTTTATTTACAAGACATTTATATGTGTGGCCAAAGCACAAATACAGTATTGAAGACAACAAATCATATGACAATAACAGCAAAAAACAATAGTTCCATAATGATAATAAATAGTTAAATAAACACAAAATAAATGATGAAACAAAGGGAATTATACAGTATAAGTGATACAGGTAATCAAGCTATAACAATATAGAAAATAAACAAACAATCACATGGCGACAATGCCACCAAGTTGATGATGTTCCACTATATGTTTACAGTTTTTTTAATCACTGGATTCTAGTTGTTTCAGGAGATCACATCATGCGACTACTTCTTCACAGAAGAAAAGTCATTTCTCCCACTTAACATTATGTGTCCACAGTTCCCTCATCACAATGAGAGCACAAACTGTCCTCTGGTAGTAGGAATCATTGTCATTTCATATTAATGAGAATAAATTCATGTATCTAAATAATCGTAGGCTATATCCTTGATTTGTTTTCCTTCACTCTTTGATCAATATGAATATGAAATGGCAAATTTGACTCTTATTTTGAACATGGCAAAACCTGAAATCCACCAAATCAATACTCTTTAATCATTAATAGGTCTGGAATCATTTACATAAGATAAGATAAGATAATCCTTTTATTCGTTCCACATTGGGACATTTGCTATACTACAGCAGCAGGAGTCAAAAATAAGCATCAGGGAGTAATAATAAGCAACATGCAGTACTTAAGTGCAAGGAAAATAATACTTGAGTGTAAGGAAGTATAAAAAGTATAAAAAATAAAAAAAAATTGAAAGTGCGTTGGTTGAATTCTTTGATTTCCTGTTTGGACATGAGTGTGGAAATATTACATTAGTCATCAGTACGTGACAGAGGAAGAGTCCCACACCCGGTCAGTGAGAAGCGACGTCAGATCCTCATGCTACGGCGTTGACGTCAGATGCGCAGAAAGCGAATTGATTTAGTGGAGATCGCAGTCGACGACGGTTCAGCGGCATCGCACCTACGGTAAATACGCGTCTGTGCATTGTGTCCTAACTTTGAACTTCCATGGTTCGTGTTGAAGATGCTCACCGGTGTGTGGTCCTCCTGCTGCGGGAGCATCGTGCGCTGTGAGCGGCGATGGGCTCGTTCCATCCCTCCGTGTTAAACTTGGGAAAAGTGTTGAATTTAGTTGTAAACTCACCATATGTGAGGTTAACTTCTACATCAAAGCTCTGCCTTGTGTTCAGGTCTTTTCTCTGTGCTTTTATTTTTCCTGGTCAGTGAGTTGAATGTGTTATTAACTATCTCCTTCTGCTCCAGGAGATGGATTCAAAGCACGAGTTAAAATGCAGGTGAGTTCCTGTCCAGAAATTCCTATAAAGTGACGTTCTCTGATTCAGTTTGTTCATTTGAGGAAACTAGGTGTGGCTTTTTAATCAAAAGTCAGCGCAACTTTTTTATTCACTTTCGTTATCGATTGCAGATTTAGGATACAACAAACCAATCGGGTTTAACGGTCAGATTTGCTGGATTTGTGTGAGTGAATCACTTTAAAGCAAAGTCAATAATATGTATTGTATGTGTATAATAATTTGAAACAAGTAAAGGATTAATACATACTGGGCAAGGTAAGTTGTTGCACATTTCAACAACCAGACAAAAGAAAGTGCTCTACTGTGCATTAGACCAAGACAAATTGTAAAAACAACATAAGACAACGCCAAAAAGGAATTAAAGGGATAGTTTATTTAAAATTCACTCATTATCTACTCACCACTATCCTGATGGAGGAGTGGGTGAAAGTGTTTGACACTTTTGGAGATTCAGGGGTAAACAGCGTTGCAGTAAAATCCAACACAATTGAAGTAACTGGTGACTTCTTCTTTAAATGTAATAAAAAAACCATTAATGCCTCCATACTTCCCCTGTGGTGTCATAAGTGTTTGTAAGGACTTACGGACTGAGGTACAAATTCAGTTTCGTTTTCAGACTTAATATGATTATGTAATATCTGTTTTCTTTCGACTTTAGTCCGGTTTATGTGCACAACCCACACCTGGATGCACTAAAAGAGGACTTCCTCTACCACTTCAATCTGGGAACAGGAACTCATGACCTACCAGCTATGTTTGGTGACGTCAAAGTGATGACTTTTCTTATTATGTTAATTTTTGTGGAAAAACAGTCACATGCAGGATCGTCTTCATTTGCAAATACTTGTTTTTAGTTTGTGTGTGTTGGCGGCAGTCCCTGGAGAATGAAAGTGTTCGCCGAGTACATTGCCACTGAGCTCTGTATGGAAGACCCCAAATCTGAGTACCCAAACATCTGTGCTGGAACAGACCGCTATGCCATGTACAAAGTTGGCCCTGTGCTCTCTGTCAGTGTATGTAAAAGTCTCAAGATATTTTTATTCTTCTTTTGTAAACATATACTACACCACTGATTCTCAACAAATATAAAAAAAATATTCTGTGTGTGCTATATTTTTCAGCATGGAATTGGAATTCCCTCTATAGCCGTAATGCTGCATGAGCTAATAAAGCTCATCCATCATGCACATTGCACGGATGTCACAATTATGCGCATCGGGACATCAGGTGGAATAGGTAAGCTAATAACAATTTTCTGTTAATCAAGAACCTGATAATGGTACATTATTAAACCATAAATCCTGTTGGCAAGAGGCACCTGCCTTTGACTCCATGTGTGGTCACATGTGAACTTAGAGTTAGGGTAAAAGATGTGTTGGGTAGTGTAGTAAAAAACTTTTACTTTTACCACAGGAGGGAGACCAAGTTTCCTTTCACTTTTATGGCAGTGAAATCCAGTTTGACTTGTTGCTGATTATTATTTCTCTTGTTATCTGAATTTCCTTTTCTTTGTTTTATTAAAATAAGTTATTCATTTAAATTTTGTTATACACCAACTGTTAAATTTTTCAAATTATTCTATAAACCAGAGTTTGGTGTCCTCTGTTTTTTTGTAAATTGATAGATCATATATATTTTTCAAGCACGGTTAAATGTGTATGTTTTAAATTAAAAACAGAGGATATCTGAAATATCTTATCACAGGTTTAAGAATTTGTTCTAATGGTTTTCCAGGATGCTTAACATAATATAGTCCTACACCTTTCAGTTTATGCTTTCTGTACTTGTAGTTGAGAAATAGTTTTTCTCATTTGCCATGTTTGGTTTTCAGGAGTTGAGCCTGGCACCGTCGTTGTTACCAAACAAGCAGTGGACGGCACCTTCCAGCCCAGGTTTGAACAGGTGATCCTGGGGAAGACTGTGGTGCGTGACATTGATCTGGACCAAAGTCTGGCCAAGGAGCTGTTGAAGTGCAGCAAAGAGCTGAACCAGTTTGAGACTGTGATTGGCAACACCATGTGCACCATGGATTTCTATGAAGGTATGAGTTCTTCTGCACTGACATGTTAATCACACTGTTCACGGCCGTGTACAATGGTTCAGGCGTAATGTCCATCTTCACTCTCTGTGCAGGCCAAGCTCGTTTGGATGGTGCTTTCTGCTTCTACACTGAGAAGGATAAACAGGACTATCTCATGAAAGCCAGCAAAGCAGGAGTCTGCAATATTGAAATGGAGTCAACCGTTTTTGCTGCCATGTGCAAGCTGAGTGGTCTGCGTGGTAAGAAACATCAGCACAATTTGCAACATGTTCAAAGCACAGAATTTTGCCACCTCTTCCTGCTCAGTCTCCAACGCTCTTTTCCCATGTGAAGCCGCCGTGGTGTGTGTGGCGTTGCTGGATCGTCTGAAGGGGGATCAGATCAGCTGCTCTCATGAAGTTCTTCAAGGCTACGAGCAGCGTGTCCAGAAACTGGTTGGGTACTACATCAAACAGCAGCTGAAGGCCAAAGCAGGGAGCGCCTAAGTGACTGGTTTGCAAGCATATGTCACAATCTTCTCTTGATACTGAAAACTTTGCAATGCAATAACTGAGCTTTAAATTTTTATTCTATACTTCTATATTTTTATCGATTTTATATTTCCTTTGGGAACATTAAACTGAAATTTTAATGAAAAAAAGAATACTGTGCTCATCAATGTAGTTCAACATATGAAGTTCCTTATCTGTAAAACTTCAACCAAAAACGCATATTGAAATCATCTTTGATGAATGAATGATGATGACGTGACTATGACGCAGCTACGTTTTTGTGCTTGACCTGGTATTGGTTTTAAAACTCTGCAAATCTTTGTAGTATTTTCGATGTAAATTGATTTTTACATTTTCATCTTCTGTAATGTTTGTTGAGGTTTCAATCAGAACCTAAAAACAAATTGACATTCATTTTGAGAGAATAGGAAATTCCACTGGATGTCTTATTTTCAATAAAGCTTCATATACTCTAAAGCTGTTTGTTATGTTTTGGTTTTTAAAAGTAGCACAAATTCACATCATGCAGCTGTTATGTCTTGTTGTATAAAGAACGCTGACCACTTCTATTCATTTGAATTATTGGTTGTCAGCTTATGTCAGCTTCATGTCAGCTTATGCCCCTTTTAGTTTTAATACATACATTTCAATGATCAACTAATACACCTCGATTTCGACTACTGTCCCTGGATTGTATCTTATCAGATGCTTTTAGTAGTTTTGGTTTACCTTTGTTAAAGTGACATCTATTATAGAGATTTAATGATGTTCCATGACACATCTAAATGCTCAGGTTAATTTGGACAATCTGACCCACGGTCAGTATTATTTCTATTAAAGGTCCAGTGTATAAGATTCAGGGGGAAGAGAACTATTGGCAGAAATTTAATGCAAAATACTCATAGTGGTGTTTCATGTTAACTATGAATCATTGTTTTCTTTACCCTAGAATAAGCCCTTTATATTTAAATACTTTATATTAACATCAGGAGCGGGTCCTCTCTACGGAGGCCGCCTTGTTTCTTACAGTAGCCCAAACTGGACAAACTAAACACCTTTTGAGTTTCTATGAAAACTGAAGGCTGCCACAGGTTGTCTTTCATATTTGGAAGGGGAGAGTGAGGTGAGGGTTGTTCAGCTGCAACATGCAGCTTCACCACTAGATGTCACTAAATTCTAAACACTTTACCTTTAAGTGGGCATTAATACTCACAGCTCACTGCAGATGATCCACTTTTACTTCCTCATTTTACTAGAAACTGCCGGTATCAGTGATTCCTGCCCCTGAAATGACCTATATGGATCCAGTCAATCACATGCAGGTATAAATATTATCAGCTGTGTGTGTCTGTCCTCTGATGCTCAGCTTTACAAGGTTACCGAGTGGACACTGAACATCGCTCTGCGCGCGTCACGCGACAGAGGAGGGTCTGCCTGCGCGCTCCCGTACGTGCCCACCCCCTGTCTCACCGTCCGCTGCTGCTCTCGGTCTATTCGCTGACTCAGTGCCTTAAGCAGCATCACCGTCCACCCGAGCAGAGCCACAGCCTCCCCTGCGGACACCACCACATCAGCCATGGCCAAGACAGCGACCGGTGAGTAATCCCTCCTCAAACCGATGCATGGATGGACGAATAGACCGATGGATGCGCACTGGGGCTGCAGACCCGGCATGGGTCGGCCCCGGTGGGGTCTACCGGTGGCTGGTGGTCGTTCCTTCTGTAATGGCTGAAATATTATCATTTGATTGATAATGATAATTGATATTGCTTCTTCGATGATCATGTATCGATTATAGGCCTATTGTCTGATCACATGAGTGGGGGGATGATACCATGAATATGTGCTGCCACACCAAAGCATCCTCCGTCATTATGTTATTGAAATGTTTCCTTTATCATCATCTGCCTCATCACCATCATGATGTCTGAGCTCATATAGTGGCAGGGTGGATAAGAAGACGCTATAGATTCAGCTTTATTTACTGCAGCTGCTTCTCAGGCTCCAGCGGCCCCAACATGCAGCATAATGCAGACGGACCCCACCCAAGATGCTGTGGTGCCGAGCAGCGAGGCAGAGAGGGGCTTCATCTCCCAGACTTTTATATAACCCTGCTCTAATTAAACCCGAACAAAGTCCCACTGCTATTTCATATAACCTTAATGTGTTGATTTAGCACATTTATTTTAGATAAATAGCTTTACAATAGAGGATGCCAGGGGGGGCATCACCAGCTGTGACAGATGTGCTGACATTTTTATCGGCATGTAGACAAATGTAAAATCTCCAATTTCCAGACAATTTGGTTTACTAATTTGCTCAAAGAAGCTTATACGAATAGCGTATAACTACACTGCATCCTGCATTAGTCATCCCCCACCCCCCATGGACCGTTATTGTTGTAGGCCAAGCGTTTGCAATATTTGCTTCCGTGGGTTTCTTTTAAGCTTCTGCAGCATTTATGGTATCTCAACAAGAGTAGACGTGTTCTCATATACAGTCTGGGGTGCAGGCTGCTTTCATTATGGTGTGAGTGGTGGCAGAGATGCAGTGGAGTAGACAGGTGCATGGCAGGGTGGGAGGCAGGCCAGCCCTGCAGCAAGGAGGCCGTTTACACACTGGCCTTTGCAGCAGAAGGCTTAGCATGCAGCCCTCACAATCTGTAGCCCTTAATATGGAGAGCCAGGTGGGCACTTTCTTAGCCATAACGTGAAGAGGACGGAAAAGGTCACAGATTTGCAAAGAGATTTAAGAAATAAACTTTGTAAGGAACTGGAGAAATTACATAGTGGACAAAAATAATAAAGATCATCCATCAGCTGTCACTGACAGATGTGACGGCCACACTCAACAATAGTGTAGAGATAAGACGGATATAAATGCCTCTAATTTATGCGACCACAACACACAGCAAAAAGCTGAGAATTCAACAGGAAATCGAATACGTTGACACAGATCTGTCTAAACCCATTTTATGGAGATTGCAAAGGGACATAAGAGAAAGCAAAGCATCTAACAAAGCAACAGTAATGATGCCTGCTTGATCTTAGTTTGATCGGCTTTTACACAACACATCCAATGAATTATTTAGCAACACAGCACTTTTAGATGTACACCAGACTCAGAGTCACGCTCCCTGCATCGTTCACCTAGTGGTCATCTGACGCTCACTTCCTTTCCCAGTTTAGAAGGTATTCATTTGGAAACACCTCATGCATATTCATGATTTATTTGTACATGTTTTTTTAATTAACCTCTTCTGTGTTTACAGCGTACAAAGAGAAGATGAAGGAGCTGTCCGTCCTCTCCCTCATCTGCTCCTGCTTCTACCCAGAGTCACGCAACAAGCTCATGAGTGAGTTTGAAGGTATGGATCAGCTCAAACATTGATTGCTCTTTTGGGTGACTCAAAGTGTCCCCCATGGACACACAGACAAAAGAAATAATGACACGTTATTGGACTAATACACATTAATATTGGATATTGACTTTTCTGGTGTTCATCATAATTGTGTTATTCACAGACATGGAGGTGAAACCCATAAACAAGCGGGCCTCGGGCCAGGCCTTTGAGGTGATTCTCAAGCCTCCCTCTCCGGTGTCAGAAGTAGCCCACAACCTCCCCTCACCCCCCAAGAGAGACATCTCTCTGGAGGACATTGAGAAGAAACTGGAGGCTGCTGAGGAGCGGAGGAAGGTGAGTGTTTTTGGTAAAAATGAATAAATCAGAGAGACATGAAATCAATGAAAATGTATCAATCAGTGTGTTGTTGTGCATTTGTAGTACCAGGAGGCCCAGGTGCTGAGGGCCTTGGCGGAAAAGAGAGAGCACGAGAGGGACGTGCTGCTAAAGGCCATGGAGGAGAACAGCAACTTCAGCAAGATGGCCGAGGAGAAGCTCCAGATGAAGATGGACCAGATCAAGGAGAACCGTGAAGCACTTATGATGGCCATGATTGAGCGTCTACAGGAAAAGGTGAGAAACACAGAGCTGTTGTTGATCGGAGGCTGGGTGCTGTCCCGATGACTAAACCACACTCACTCTGTTGTCGTGGTGTTTGCAGGAGAGACACGCAGCCGTGGTGCGCAGGAACAAAGAGATGAGGGAAGAGGTGACAGCATAAAGCCTCACAAGAGTCCCGACATCTGTGGTCCATCTATGTCTTCTCCATCCAGTCCTTGTCCCCTTCCTCGCCCCCTCTCCCCCTCCCTCACCCTCCACTGAACAGACACCCAACCCGGAGGCCAGAGAGGTTCGAGGACCTCATCACAACATCACAACAAAACACAACACACCACCAGTACTCACTACTATCAGTATTATCAGTGGATACAAACATCTGTAACACTCATCTTGAGAATTGAATGGATTTGATGAAAATGCAAGAATATGGCTTTTGATTTGTAAATATTTGTTTTCAGATCTATCTATCAATCTATCAATCTATCTATCTGTCTATTTGTCTATCTATCTATGATGGTAGGTGAAGTACATACAAATACTGTGCTGTACTGCGCTGTACAATTTCAAACATTTTGTTTGTCATTGATTATTGTTTCAGTTCTTGAAATTTCAAAACTCTACAACCATTTTCTTGTGAAAGCCCTCGGTGTTGTGAGTTGACTGACAGTTGCAGTTCTTTCCTGATGATGTCATGACGACGACGACGATGATGTTTCTGTGTTTTTTTGTTTTTTCTGTGAAGAATGACGGTCAGTGTTCGCAGGCTTACACAATCCTCAAGATAAGATCGACGCAATCCCATCTGTATCTCCCTCACGCACACCCTCTCATTTACAACACGCACGCTTGGAACCTAATACGCCAAAACCCACAGATTGATAAAGTGTCCACTTCCTCTGGAATGAGCTCGATGATGGACGTGAGAGGTGCTTTATTGTTATTAAGAATGTCGTTGCCCTATGGGAGCAGCCCTTTATACTCTTGCAGATTCCCATGCCATTCCTCGATCGATCCATCTTCGGCTAAATCAAAACTCTCCGTGACGTACACACAGTATTTTTAGGATTAATCTCATGAATGTTACTGACACCAGACTGGTACCATGCATAGTGTCTTGGACAGTGGAATGTCCTCCCACCTTGATATTGATAGTGAGAACATAACGTATGTCTGCGTGGGCGTATGTGAATACGAATTTACCATGAGGCATCTTTAGCGTCTGCTCTCTTGAGGGGATTAGCTAAAGAATGGACACGGGATGATTTACACACAGCACACTGAACTAGTCTCTTTTTAATATACAGTACCACTGATATCTGCCTGCATCCTCTGCTGCTTGTGTTTCTCCTTCGTATATTTCTCTGTGAAAGCTTTGCTGAATAAAGGTTTGGGGTTGTGTGAACATAGCATGCACCATCTAATTAATTTCTGTGCTAAAAGAGGAGGGGGAAATGTAAACTGCCAAATAAAAGAACCAGTTATCTACACATCCCGAGAAAATCACAGTCTTCCA